TTTTCTCTTTTTCGGTCGACCGGTTCGGTTCACGAGGTTGGACGTGTTTGGGACCCTGCGCTTCGTCACGCTGGTGGGCGTCGACTGGCCCAGGCGGGGGCCCAGTTCGCCGAAGGGGCGCGTGTGAGGCTCTTTTCACCGAAGAAAGGAGGAATCTGGGAGTCACAACTTGCGGCGCGAAGGAGGTCTTTTTGGGGGCCCAAGAGTTTCAGCCGCTTCTTTGGGGGATCCTGGAGTGGTAACAATTGAGCTAATCTTCTTAGTTGAAATATGTTGAACTAGTGGACCTTTCGAAGTGAAAACATGTCGACCTGAGTGAACTCCTCACGCATGGCGTGGGACTCACCAAAACATGGAGCTTCCGTCGAAAGGAGTGACGCTTCTGGAGACCCGTGTTGAGGCAGAAAGGCGATATGGTATGATATGGTTTGCTTGGACACCCTACTTTACAGCTGGTTCTGAATTGCTTTTCCAGGGCGGTGACAGCTGTTTCTGGCCCATCCGCCCTATGCACCGGGTTCGAAGAAGTCTGTCAGTTGGGTGCCTTGGGTGATGTCTGGTGGGACCAGACAGACGGACGCAGGTTCCAGATCGGCTTCGCCCTGGGCCGGAAGGGGAAGGGAGGTGAATCCCTCACCGCCTTGAGATGCCAAATGCTCTTCCATTTGCCCCGTTCGTAGCGTCCTTGTTTCCTATAGTAGTAAGGCCAGGAGCCCCGTTCGTAGCGTCCTTGAGATGCCTTACAATGCCCCTTCCATTTGTCAGACTGGGAGCCTTGAGATCGATGCACAGAGGGACGTGGAATGGAATCCACGGACTCCTTTCATCCGGTTGCCCGTTTTGCCGGCCTCCTATCGAATTAGAGAGCTTGGCTTAGACGGGCTTTGGCAAGTTCCCATCCTGTGGCTCAAGTTTTCAACCCCCCAAACAGTGGTCCTGCATGAGAATGAATCAGAATGAAACCAAGTTGGTTTGACCTCACCCACTCACCAATAGCCTTTACCGAACAACCCTTATTTTACTAAGTTCTTGGACGAAAGTTAAGTTTCCCAAAAAATCTAGGAACCAAATCATTAGCACGAGCTATCCTGCGTCCTTAAGCTACTAGCTGCCTCTCCCTTACTCAATTAAGAGGGAGCGGGCTTTCAAACACATACCTGGACCTTCAAAGGGGTGTCCAATGGAGATCCCTATAGATAGGTAGTGGGCTGGGGCGAAATTTAGGCAGGTGACCCTGCCATGAAGGCGCTGGTAGATCCGCACCAGATCAATCGTGCACCGGATCGATCGCTGCAGGGATGTGCCGGCCACATGTGTTCGATTCCCAGGAATGGGGCGGTTGGAATGGGGTGCTCTCAGCAAAGGCTGGGTTGGAAAGGTGTAGTTGAAGGTGTGGCTCATGTGGTCACTATTTCAGGCGGATTCGCTGTCTTTCTCTCTTCAATGATAGTTCACCAATCTGTTTCTTCATGCCTTGCAGGCGAAGGCCAGGGTATGGCCTTCCAGGTGTTCGTCCAGTGAGAGGAAGGGGGCAAGGCCAAGGGCCAGCCTCAAGCACCCGTCCACCGCGGCGGTAATGGAAGCCACGGGTTCACAGTGACTGGCCTCGGAGAGAGAAAGATCTTCGGAGTCCACTCATGAAAGAAATGAGTCAATCAGCCTTTGGCAAAGTCTGAGCTTCGAACTTTTTCCAGTCCTTTGGATCCGGAGATAGATGCTCTCCCCAGCGCCACGCCCGGGTCCAACCGCCCACGGCCGTGGCCCGTGACCAATTGCACCGATCTACCGCCCCCGCTGGTGAGGTCTGGGCACGCGAAGAGTTCCGGATTCCAGATCACATCTTGTCACAGGTCTGGGAGCTCAGCACCTGGCGGACCTGCCTACTCACCGAAACGCCCGGACTCAGCCGCCGGACAGGGGGCGTCCCGTCGTCCCGGAGAGGCGGTCTGTGGAGCGGACGTTTGGACCGGAGCGAAACTGCCATTCGATCTGCTCAGCTCGCGCGGAGAGCTTTTCGACCTTTCGGACCGCAGTGGCGGCGGTCATCGACGCTTGGTCGGAGTGGTGCCACTGCATCCGACGACTTGGGCCATGGGCCCTACAGGGTGTTACATCGGCCCGACGGCCGGTTTTGAATGTTCCCGTGCATCAGATCACATTCGAAGATCACGGTGAGACCATGCTTTTGACAGGGAGATCTTCGCTCCGCTGCCGACCCGGAGAAACACCCAAAGCACCACCGGTGCTCCCCAAAGATCGGGGACGTTCTTGGGATGCCGTTCTTTGGGTGTCAGGGACCAACAAGGGTATCAGAGGGGGCCAAAGGGACCAACAAGTCTTCACGTACTTGAATCAATTGGAGTTGTGGATCCAAGAAGGGTGGGCTTCTGATCAGGGATTGCCATATCGCCTTGGTCTATGCTCGAAGTGGTGGGAGAAAGTTTATCGGGCCGAACCCGGACTCATCAACGATGACGCTCCCCACCAAACGATCTTGTTGTTCATGGTGGCACCCCGGGGTCTCACGCCTCTTCGAAACCAAACCCAGCACATGGTTCGAACATCCTTTCACGAAACTACACGGAGTACGGAGTGCACCGCCGCATCTTCTAACTCTTCTTGAACTATATTGTTGTTTGTTTTCTTTGTTTTGGAACTTGTTCACCCATTAGGAGCTTTGGGATTTCTTGGGGGAAAAAGCAACACCGCACCCGCGCCGCCCTCCAGGCCTCCGCTGCTGAGCCCGAGACCAACAGCGACGCCGGGGGGTCCACGTCGCTGGAGGTCGCGCGGTTTCGACCAGCACCACCCAGTTTGGATGGGTTATAGACCCCCTTGTAGAGGTATTTTTGGGTCTAATAACCACCCAACGGTCGCTGGTGCTGGGAAAAAGGGGCTTGATCAGTGGGTTTGAAACTCATGTTCTGTTCATGTTTCGATGTTGCTTCGTTTCTTTTGAAAAGATCTGAAGTTAGAGGTTTTGGTGTGGTTGGTATACCTTATTGATGTTTATTTGGTGGGCGAAGTCCACCCGGACCAGGGGACTAAACGGCTGGATCTGAAACGAAGAGCATGGGATGCTGCAGATGGCTCTCTTCCTTCTCTTGAGTGCAGAAGTGCCAGTGTGTCTGAAGGGAGACAGAAACTCCTAGAGTTGAAGGAGTAAAAACTGTCACTTGTTAGTGTCGATGGCAGTCCCTTCTAGAAGGTCGCCAGACCGACGCCTTCAAAGCCGTTCAGTGGCGTACCACGTACGCTTCGGGGGCGGACCGTTGAAAGCAGCGCTGAGGTGCTGACGGATGTGCGTTGTTTGCTGCCTCCGGAGATCTTGGGGGCTCCCTTGTTGAACAGCCGGGTGGCCTAGTTAGAGCGGCGGCTGGACGGAGCGGTGGACGGAGGAATGAGGCGGCCGAACAAAGGAGATACATGGATCTGCCGGCCTATCTGCGATCATGTATTTGGCCGGTCTTCTAGATGAAAAGGCAGACCTTGTGCACAGTTGGAAGACGAGCTAGGTCAGCTAGGTACATTCTGCACAGTTGGAAGAGCTACCAGCTACACACAGGGTGGCCAGTGACCCATGTTCCCAGGTCTCCAGGGGATAGGCCTTGCCTTAATGATCCATCTTCCTCGAGCCAAGAGTCTCATCGCTCGAGTTTCAGAGCCGAAATCGGACAAACACTCTCAGAGCCCAACTCCTGCGGCTCCGCGTGCGCTGAGGTCTTCACCTGGGGCTGCAAGACCCTCGTGGCACTCCCTTGCCCTCCATGTCAGGGGGCCTCGTCGGACCGTCAGACGCGTCCGTTCGGATGGGGTGAAGATTCGTGGATCCTTTTGAGGCTGCTCGGACTCTACGAACGTAGGGCATCGCGACTCGAGTCCGGAGCGTTCAGACGCGACACGCACGGGGCGCTGCTGGCCATACTACGAACGGAGCGTTCGGACGCTACTTTCACCCATGTGGAATGCCATGTCGAACTTTTTGGAATCCAAAGCCATGCTGCGCGCAGATGGTACCTCAAACACCTCAAGTCCCAGCTGAAGGGTGCACAGAAGAACCAGGGCTTCTTGGTATGACTCTTGGGCAAATAATGATGAGATGTGGCTCTTGTGAAGGTCCAAGCATTGAGAACAACCAGGAAGTCCCTGGTAGGTACGGGAAAGGGATGGAAGATGATGGAGGGATGGTTCACACAATGGATCCAGCATGATCCAGCATTAGTCCAGCAACATTTGCATCAATGTCTTCCATCTCAGGACCTTCCATCCAGTAGATGGGACTTTCCAGAAATGCAGAATTACTGTGCAACAGGTTGACAATTCCACCTTCGAATCGACCACCAATCTCTCCGTGCTTCCGCCTGCCTTCGGGCCCATCACGCGCCGAAGTCGCCCACGTCGCCAGGGCTATGCCTTTGTGGAAGCGACCCGAGTTTTTGGAGGCCTTTTCGGTGACAAGCCATGGGCACAACATGGCACAACTCTTCAAGGTTTCGTTTCGCGTGGTGTTTTTCGTCCGTGCGAACTGGCATGCATGTTCTTTTTGGACGCCTACGTTTAGATCGTGTATATTCTAGATTTCTAATGATTTATCTTGGTGTATATAAGGTATATAGGCTTCTTTTGTTTGCCTGAGATTTGGGACGCTTTCTTAAAGAGTTGATTTTGCTTTACCATTTGTTAAAACCAAAGGTCACCCAGAATGATGTTGTTCAATCCGATGAATCTTGATCAGCTCCATGACGGTGCTGGATCGTGTTGGAAAGAGAAGACCTGCCCTAGGCACGAAGCAGCTGTGCGTTCGTGTCCGACCACCACTGTTCTGGGAACGGTCCATATTCGTTCTGGGAACCCATACAAGCATCCATTGGGGACGCCCATGCCATGTTAGGAGGTGTTTCATGATGTTTTTACCAATCAGCCGCCTTAGTGTTTTTCAATTAATCTACCTCCTTATGTTCAGACCCCCCTTAGTCTTCCCATCTAGCTACCGGCGACCGGGCTTTCATCCTTCGTTTTGCTTCTATTGAGGAGACTCCCTTAATCTCCGCCTGGCCAGGTTTCGCGGTGTTTCCTCACATACCGGCGACAGGTGATTCCCACGCGGATTGCACGGAGCAGAGGACAGAGTGTCACCTTGCCAGGAGGCCAAGAGAGGCCAAGAAAGGCCACAAGAGGCCAAGATGAGGCCAAGAGGGTGAGCAAAAGCTGGACTTGCTCAGCAAATCAAAGGCTGAGCTCAGCCAATGCTAAGCCCAGAAAAACTAGAGGTGCGAATCAATTGACAGTAGGTTAGGAAGGCGTGGTATAGGGCCCGGGCTATACTTTATAGAGTTTTTTCATGCAAGGGTATGATTGTAATAGGGAGACCACGCTTGGTGCAAGGGTTCTTCTATTTTCCCATACTCTTGCCCCACCAAGGGACCCAACATCAGGCATGAACCCTAAAAGCCCCGGCCCTTCTGCTGCCTGGTGCGACGCGAAGACCTCACGGGCGTTTCGCCGGGCGTCCTGAGGCGCGCGGCGAACCTGCCACCCGTCTCGACGGCCTGGTGTTTGCTCTCCATGGCGTGACGCGGCAGCCGACGGGACCGGTGCGACGGAGGTGACGCGACGGGACGAAGAGGTTCTTCCGATTCGAGACGACGAAGGGGATGGTGGCTAATGATGTATGATGTTGATGTTTTAGGCATCGCGTGTTCAAGAACCTAGGCAAGTGCCCACTGGACATGATTATTTTTTTTTGATGTTGATGTTTTGAATGGTTTGGTGGGATTAAGGCTTGCAGAAACCGCCCCCCAAGAGCATAATGAATTACTTGATCTTATAGATCTTGAGAAGCCTCTACTTCGCCCCCCTCATTCCAACATGACAGGACCTGATGAACGATTCTTCACCGCTGGTGTTCTCCATTCATTTCTGTCACCATGTGTGACAAGTTGATTCGGATATTCCTTTGGTCCATTACATCCAGTCCTGTCTCGACAGGAACCAGTTCTCGTCATCGCTGGAGGCGACTGTACGTCCAAGCCGGTCCTGAGTTCCGGCCAAAAAGGTCCATTGATCCAGGGGCCGTGGATTTTTCGCAGGGCACGTCCATTTCGCAGCCCGACATCCATGGAACTGCTAGTCCCTTTGGACCCAGACACTCCAGACACTCGCATTGACAACGACCCCAACGGCTTTCAGCAGATTTAGGGTGATCGTCCCAGACAGGTCGGTCGGAACGCGTCGAGGTCGGAAGATGTGCCCGTGCAAGTGCAGGCCGCCGGTGGTTGGTTCAACCGGTTAGGCCGGGGAGAAAGGAAGAGAATGGGCTCGATCTGCCAGCGATGGACCGCTGCGGCTCGCGCCCACGAAGGTGCTCGGTCAGGTGGTGTTCCACGTCCGGTCCGGGTCCGGTTGGGACGTTTTCATCCGCCCTCAGGGCAGGCCAGTTCTCAAGCATCTCAAGCAGCACGAACTGTTCGGCTCTTTTTCGTCGCAATGGCCACATGTGCGGGCGAGGTGGAACAGCTGACGAAGGGCGACTCAAGACGCAAGGTGGAAGCATGTGGATTCTTGTGGACTTCCTTTTCCAGCTAAGACAAGGACCAATCAGTGATCATCGGCTTTTTGGTTTGCTGTTCGTGCCGTTTACGTGCTGGCAAAACACGATGTTCAACTGGAGCAGCCCATCCACTGAACTCCTTTTGCTTACCATCCACTAGAGTCACTAGAGGTGGAATGCATAGCCCTCTATCCCTAGAAGAGGGAATGGTTTTAAGATGTCTATTTACTAGATCATATACTAGATCTATGTTCGTGCGAACTAGCACAACTCCTCCTTGATCTTAGGTTCATGTGTGGAGTCTACGCCATGCCATTGAAGTCCTTGTTCTAAGGTGAGCAGTTCGGCGGCTATGACACGTCGCCGTCCCCCGTGCCTGAAGAAAAGACCAGAGGTGCGCAGGGTTCAGAAGAGGTTTCTACACTTTCCTCGAAGTGGGGTTTCCTTTGAGCTACAAGATGAGAGAGAGAGAGAGTGAGAGAGAGAGATTGAGTTGATGCGAGTTGATGTTAGTGGTGCTCCCATCTGAAGTGGTCTTGGATGAAGTAGACAAAAATCAAATATGTATCATATTATGCCGTGGGGTTCCAACCACCACTGATTCAATGGGCTCTACCAAACTACCAAGGATTTTAGACAACAAAACCAGGTGAACCATTTATTGAAATGGCCTTTGATTTTTTTTGGAGATGGATGTTTTTTCTTCGACCGAAGCACACGGTGTCTTGACCTTTTCCAGTCTTTCCAGCCACCTCGAGATCGGCCTCGAGCCTCGATCGGGCGCGCATTCCAGGTGAGCTGAGGCGACAAAATTCCAAGGCGGCGAGCCTGCGCCGCAGCGACAGCAGCTACGTCTTGTTGAGGCGCTTGGAGGAAGCGGGTGCCGAGTGGCGCGATGTGGACAACCTTAGTGACGCCACTTGGAGGTAAAGTGAGGAGAGGGGCGGGAGATGGGTTAAAGAGAGTGGCCAACCATGGGTCGAGCCTTTCACTTTTTCGACATTATATAAATGTATGTGCAGATCGAGATGTGTGATGTGTTGTGCAGAAAGCGGCGGTTGTATCGATGTCCGAAGCGAAGATGTTTTGGCTCCGATGAGTCTTGCCCTGGTTTCGGACGCGTTTGAAGATATACCTAGACCCTCCACAGGTGACAAAGAACTGCCCACAGTTGAGAAGGCAATTTTTTCAGTAGACATGAAACATTTCTGCCCGTAGTAAATAGAATCATCCGTATCCAACATCCGTCATGCAACCAGAGCAAAATTCCTTGACAATTGCGGTTGTTACAAAGCGAGTTCCGCTAATTCCCGCCTTTTTCCGCCAATTTCCACCCGTCCCGTTTCCGCAGATTTTTGCCCGTGAAATCTTCAGACTATTTCTAAAACAACCACAACCATGACCCTGCCAAACCAACTGGCTCAGATTGAACGGTCAAAAACCGATTTCCGCCCGAGGACGTCTTTTCGTGGATTCAGCCTAAAAAGGCACCTTTTAAGGAACATCCAAAAATTTGGAACCTTTTGGAGGTGTATGCGATGTCAGTGTTCTTTTGGTGTATCGCTGTGCAGATCTGTGGTGATGTTTGTTTTCACGCACCGAACAAGACATCTTGGGACCATCGTGGGACGACTGAAGAATGAACCTGGGACAAATCGTGGAGGGTTTTTGCGCCACCAAACCCATCCAACCCCCTCTTTTTCCAACGAAAAGATCCTCGGTAACCCAAGACCGACCTCCAACGCCTTCCTCTACTCGACCAAGGATCAGTCCCACAGTCCCGACACGGACGTCGCCATGGACGCGTCAACGTCGCCGTGCAAGCGATTGGAGGTGGAACGCGATCGCTTTGTGAAGCTCACAGAGTTTGGACCTGTGCCCACGTTCCCGAGGATCCTCTGCGTGTCGCGAAGGTACTTGCGCAAGAACAAGTATGTGGACATCACGGGCGAGTACCATATCGACTTGATTCAGGACTTTGGAGGAGCTCCAATCATCTTGCCACGAACTACAAGAACCATCCAACAACTCTGTGAACATTTGCCAATGGACGGCTTGGTGATCGCAGAGGGCAACGACCTTTCCGACGACATTTTGCTCAAGTATGGCTGCAATATTCCAGAGAGGCTGACTGGAGAAGCGGCTCAGAAGTTTGCAAGCGACACGGAGATGGATGTGTCCAAAGATGAACTGGAGTTTGCTTTGATGAGGTTTGCTTTGGCTGCAGGTGTTCCGATCTTGACCTTCTGCCGCGGTTCCCAGATGCTAAACTGTATGAGAGGTGGAACCCTCATTGGTGATATTGAAAGCCAAACAGACAGCACCATCAAGCACTTGAGAGATTCCAGCGAGCCAGACTATGACAGCTTCCGCCATCCCATCAAAGTCGTGCCTAAGACTCCTTTAGCCGAATGGTTTGCGGATAGCTTGGGCAAGCATGGAGATCCCAACGTTCTCATGGTGAACTCCTATCATCATCAAGCATCAAAGGACCTCGGTTGGAGTCTGGTGCCAATGGCACACAGTCCGGATGGTATCATTGAGGCGTTCTACGATCCACGATATGATCCCAAAGCCGGACAATTCGTTGTAGGTTTGCAATTCCATCCCGAGCGGATGCTGAGTGACTATCCCGGCTGTGCCCGCTGCTACCAGTCCTTTTTAGAGGCCTGCACTGCGTATAAGGCAATCCAAGATTCTGGTCTCTAGAATATTTCCTCAGAGTTCTTAGAAGCGGGAGATTTCCGTTCTAGGCATATTCCACTGATTTCCACAGAGTTCTTGGAAGCCTTTTCATTCTTGATGTACCTAACTCCTGCTTTCGAGATCACGGGGTCCCCCCTGGAAAACTGTCAGCATCGAGATCATGGGCGCATTGACCAGTCTATATAGATTTGCAGCATGGACTCCTGGTCCTAGTCCCCCAGCTGACGCCTAGTTTGTGTGTTGGAACATTGTTTTCCAGGGTAGGTAGATCCTGACTCTCTGGAAGCTGAGAAGTCTTTGAAAAGAACCGCGATCAGGAGGGTCGCCGAGCTCGAAGTTTAAAGCAACCGACTCTGGACCCCACCAGCAAAGCTGGTGCTGGGTATGTTGGAACTTTAGATTCGTCTGGCAGAGTCCTGATGAGAAGGAGGGTCAGGTCCGTCGAGCCGTGGCATCACATCTTTGGGAGCATTTTTGTGGGGTGCCGGTAGTAACTCCAGCACGTCTCAGTTCTTTTCATGCCTACCTGGAGTCTCTTCATGCCGACCAAAACACTTGCGGCAACCACCATGTTCCACGGTCACGATCGGTCACGATCGGTCAGAGCCTTTGACCCGTTTTTTTTTCGATGTCATTCGTCGACCGGCATCTAACATGAGCGGCGAAGAACTCGAGGTCTTGCATATCGGTTTCTGTCCGGTTTCAGTCCCCTTGGGCTCGGGCGGGACTAGCTGGAACTTGAGCTATCCGCGATGTGGAGCGCCACTTTTGGAGCGCCAAGCTGGGGTGACTTGAGCCTCGATGCTGGGCCGGAAATGCGATGCTTTTCAAAGGGAGCACTGGAACATAGGGGAGACATAGATGGAGACAGGATAAAATTACTAGTCTTTGAGGTATGCCCAAGTTTGATGGATGCTGGGAGAATCAGCGTGCCTTGACAATCAAACAGGATTGTCAAGTGCGCAAACATCGTTCTCATGACAAGTTCAGTCACATTCCTCAAAAGCCAGCATGCCAGTGAAACATTCTACCCTCATTTGCCTCTCTTCACAGGAGTGGGTTTCGGACGTGTTGCCTGTTTCGCCGAGGAAGATCGCTGGTCTCGTGAGAGCGCCTTCAAACATCTCTTGGGCAAGACCTTGCATCGTCAGCGCGTCGAGGGCGAGAAGCATAGCCTATCGAAGATCTGCGAGGTCGACGTCGTGCCCCCATTCCCGAGGATCCTCTGCGTGTCGCGAAGGTACTTGCGCAAGAACAAGTATGTGGACATCACGGGCGAGTACCATATCGACTTGATTCAGGACTTTGGAGGAGCTCCAATCATCTTGCCACGAACTACAAGAACCATCCAACAACTCTGTGAACATTTGCCAATGGACGGCTTGGTGATCGCAGAGGGCAACGACCTTTCCGACGACATTTTGCTCAAGTATGGCTGCAATATTCCAGAGAGGCTGACTGGAGAAGCGGCTCAGAAGTTTGCAAGCGACACGGAGATGGATGTGTCCAAAGATGAACTGGAGTTTGCTTTGATGAGGTTTGCTTTGGCCGCAGGTGTTCCCATCCTCTCTATTTGTCGTGGCTCTCAGCTGCTAAACTGTATGAGAGGTGGAACTCTCATTGGTGACATTGAAAGCCAAACAAGCAGCACCATCAAGCACATGAGAGATTCCAGCGAGCCAGACTATGACAGCTTCCGCCATCCCATCAAAGTCGAGCCTAACACTCCTTTAGCCGAATGGTTTGCGGATAGCTTGGGCAAGCATGGGGATCCCAACATGCTCATGGTGAACTCCTATCATCATCAAGCATCAAAGGACCTCGGTTGGAGCCTGGTGCCAATGGCACACAGTCCTGATGGTATCATTGAGGCTTTCTATGATCCGCGATATGATCCCAAAGCTGGACAATTCGTTGTAGGTTTGCAATTCCATCCTGAACGCATGCAAAGCGATTATCCCGGATGTGTCCGCTGCTACCAGTCCTTTTTGGAAGCATGCAGCGCGTACAAGGCCAGTCGAGATACACATGGTTGGTGGTCAAAAACTGTGTAAACCTGGCCCGAAGAATTGCTGAAGCAAGACATCCGCCTCTCAGGTGCCAGCTACGTTTCACCGATACCAACCAGGTTCTTGTTTGAAAGTGCTGTTGACACGTTGGTTTAAGACCGTAGACTCTGGCCAAATTGTCAAAACGCCATGGATACATGACGGTTCGGGCTTTCAAAATGCCCCGTAACATGGAAGCATCAATCCAGGGACATGGCCATTTTGACCACCAGCCACATGTCTAGCGGGCGACGTCTAAGAAATGATCGGAATCCTCATCGGGATCACCTTCCATTTCGTCACACTCTTCCAAGCAGTCGTGCTTGTACAGGCTCAAGAGATCCATGTACAGAGCGTTCGAAATCGCTGACTTCTTTGGTTTCAAGGTTTCAAAAGGACACCACAGATCCTGTGTCTGGACCACTGCAATGCACCGCGCGTGCGTTTGCACCGAAATCCGTGACATGCGCATCTTTGCACTGGGTGCTTCGGTGGCAGATATAGCTGTAGAGCTTGGTCCAAGTCGCCACGTGGTGTTCTGGGTCAATCAGCGCAGAGCTGCAGACACAGCAGATATATGCCGAATCTTTTCAGACATTCTTCTTTCTGCTCCTGCTACATCCTGAAAGATATGGTATTTGACCCGGTGCAGCTCAAGATGTTGACCCGGCGGGCCATCCATGTGGTGATTTTTGGGGCGAGAGACGACCAGCGGAACTTGACCCGTGGACTCTTGAAGAAAAGGAGACGACGAGCGGTGCCCGACGGCCACGCGGAACCGGCCCCGATCGTCGCTGTTCATCCTTAAAGCCCCGGATCGTTGTCTCGGGTGGGAAGGGAATGTGAAATCGGATTTCGTTGATGGCACAGTCCCGGAGCCAGAAAAATCCTTTTGGGGTGCCAGTGCCATCTACTCTGAAAGCCTCAGTAAATGACCAGGGTTCGGTTTGCTTCTGACCTCAAACGGGGAGAATGCTCCCCACCAGCTTGCGCCGGTGTCGGTGGACACCTGCCGGTAAACCGGTGCTGGAACTGACGGAAGTCGGGGTGCCCAGAGCACTCATCACTGATCGTTATATCACTAACCAAGAAAACGCTATCAAACGAATCAAGCGTCAATGGGCACGTTCAAAGAACATCATAAACCAGTTGTTCCATGTCGTTTCTTTTGTTTCCCATGGAGGATGACAGGAATGGAATTCCTGGCCGATGGCGTGTATTCGTCCATCGGAACTTGCATGCCACTTTGGTCAACGCTCGAAGTTTCTTGGACTTAGTGACTTAGTGTTTCTTGTTTCTAATAGCAAAAATTGTTCCTAGTAGTACGGCCAGGAGCCCCTAGTAGCGTCCTTGCTCCTAGTAGCGATGCCAGGAGCATCTAGTAGCTTCTTGCTACTAGTAGCAAACATGCTTAATAATGGACAGGATCCACAACTCATGTTCATCATGTTTATCTGCCATGCGACATTCGGTGACATTCCTGGATCTTCCAACTAGGTGCAGAATTTCTGCCTTTAAAGCCAGCCAAAAGGCAAACATTTTGGCACAGTTGGAAGATCTAGGTTCTCACATCCGGGTTTTGCCTCAGAGCCACCTTCTTTCATTCGCTCGTCCAATTCGCCCTAAGACGGACATTGGGACATGTGCACTGTGGGCATCGATGTCCTTAAGCATGAAGTGGCAATTCCGCTTGGCAACACCCGCAGCCAGGCACGGGTGCGAAGCTCTTCCATCCAGTGTTTGCTGAAGGAATAGCAGGGGATGCTGGGACATGCTGAGGCCTTCAGGAGTCTTGGTAAGGTTCCTCCAAAAATAGATCTATCTTCCACGCAGCCGCAGTCCTTCCATTTCTTGCCCGCATAGCAAGCATGCAGGGTATCGTATTGTGTCCCACGCAACATGGTCATACGAAGGCCTCCCAAGTGCATGCATTTGCTTGATTGAGTTGGAGGGTGCTGAGGGAGAAGTTTGCAGCTTTCGAACTTTGGGTGATTGGGAGCAACGAGGACCAATGAAACGAAGCGGGTTCAGATGACAAAACAGTTGAACTATTGAGCTACACCCCTGACAGCTGATAGCGTTGCAGCTACCGATCGTGTTTGCATTTTGCTTCATTTCTGCTGCTTGAACACCTCGTGGTCCGTCTCGCCTTTTGGGGTTCCTCAAAAGATTGTGCTCACTTGGGTTCAGCTGACCGGAAAGAGACAACCACTGCAGACGGGCCTCTGCATGATCCTGCATGTAAGAAACATCTAGAATCTAAGGGTACGCAAAAGAACATGGAAAAATAGACACACTATGACACGCTCTATCACGGCCATCACCACAATTGGTTCTACAGCAAGGCATCTCGGGAAATGACAAGTCGGAGTGAGGAACCCTCCGCCCGTGGGGCCGCTTCCGGCCCAAATTGTTCTGCGCCAGGACATCAATGCGACCTTGCAGAACTTGCGTGGTGCTTCCTCGTAGCTCTTGCATGTGAGATCAAACGAATGACATGGTATCAAACGAATCAGATTCGTCAATGGAAGCTTTCGTTGCGAACATCATCAAATCAGCAGTTCCATGATATTTCCATGTCGCTTCCTTTTATCTCGATGGAGGATTTCTTTTGTCGGGGTGTTCCTGTCACATCCACATATACAGAACATGGAACTGGTGTCTTCCACACTTTCTTTTGTTGCGTCTCATATTTCAGGCGTCTCATCCGCAGCATGGTCATCCAATTTCGATCGTGGAGATGTGGTGATTTGCGGTGAAATTCTATTTGCATGCCACGCCACAAGCTGCTCAGTTGGATCCTAGTTTGCAGAATCGGAAGAATCATGCAGATCGGTTCTCAAGCTCGTAAGGCCTTTTACACCCTTAAATGATGGCCATTGGCATAAATTGGATCAAATAGGTATCTATTGGTTATAAGGACAAGAGAGAGGAAGAAAAACAAAACAAGTGAAC